GGTTTGATGAAGAAATGGAATATTTTAGCTTAACAAAAGGCACTTGTCTCCCAGAAATAGTACATGTTGTTTTTTGAGTTGTAATATTTGTAGGGTGTTTTCATTATAGCAAGCATAATCATGTTTTAGCACCAAGTCAATGACTCATTTTCTTTTGACTTGTCAGAGAGCTGCCGCACCCCGTCGCAAACAGGAGCAAAACCAGTTGAGTCATTACTATTGTTACACAGAGCATTAGCTCACAAGAACGAAGCAGAGAAAAGCCACCATGGCCAATCTCAGAACTCAGTGTCTTACTTCCTCGTCTTGAAACAGATTGGATTCCATTAACATTATGACTACAGCAGCTATGGCAGTTGCCCTACTGACAAATAGGAGATAGGAGGAAAAGATACAGCAGCAGATAAGCCACAGCAGCTGAGGCTTTGGGCAAAACCACCCGCCAGCATAAAAGCAAAACAAGTAGCTAAGAGTTCCTCACATCTTTGTAGCAGATGTTATCATGTTAAAGGTAGTATCTGCTACTTTCGAACAGGTAGGATAAAATACATACTCCATATCCTATGGCTTCTGTCCAGTGAGCTTCTAGCTTGTAACCTCAGCTGTGACTGAGCCTGGAGCCAACTCCACGCAAATGGTGAGTGGAGCACAGAGGCCCCACCGCCAACAACTCTTGCAAACCTGGCGGCCACAGGACACTCACCGTGATGGGCCCCTGAGAGAGCTAAGGGATTTGCAGTTTTCTAGAGAAATGGTTGAATCCTGCAAAGGGTTTGCTAAGATGAAGCACACGAGGGTCCTTCAAAACGCATGTGGGAGAAATGGAATTGTATGAGTTTATTTTGGTGCAAAAATGTCTTTGAAATCCATACACAGTTTTCTCCTAATATGCATTTTCCACTCACCCTGGTATTTGAAAATGCAGAGAATGGAGAGAAAAGCCTTGCCCAGCGTATGATCAAACACACAATACACAGAAGTGATCAGGGGATGAAAAGTGAAACTGATGGTGACAGTTTTGGACTTCCTCTCCTCACTGGTCGTCTAAACTTGCCCTATGAGCCTCAATTTCCTCCTCTTAAAAAATGATTCATTCATTTGAAAGACAGAGTTACATGGAGAGAGGGAGAGACAGACACAGAGAGAGATCTTCCATCCACTGATTCACTTCCCAGATGGCGGCAATGACCATGGCTGGGCCCGGCCAAAGCCAGGAGCTTCTTTGGGGTCTCCCAGTTAGGTGCAATGGACCCAAGTCCATCAACAGAGAGCTGGTTCAGAAGCAGAGCAGTCGGGACATGAATCGGTGCCCAGATGGGATGCCAGTGTCATGGGTGACAGCTTTACTGGCTACACCACAATGCCAGCCTCAATTTCCTCATTTTAAACACTGAATAACTACCGATCACAGAGTTTCTGTACAGGTTGAATAGGATTATCTGATAGCACTAATGTAGTCAGGCATATAGGATAAAACTGATTAGATTGGGGAGCTGGAAGACCACACCCTCACCACAACCCCTGTGTGGTCTCCTGCCCCTACCTGACCACACCTGTGCGCCCACCTGCCAACCAGACTAATTAACCACTCCCCTTTGGAAGTGGATGAAAGGCCTGGAGCACTGTGGGCCCACTCTCTTTTTCCCTCCCTGCCCTTGATCCCCTTGTTGTCCCACCACTTCGGGGCACGTGGCCTTCGGGCCACCAGCTCCATGCCATCTGGCCTGCATGCTCCTCCACACGGCTGGCTCCTGGCCTGCTTCTGCTCGGTGTGAATCCAGATTTCCCTCTCTCTCTTAGACAGAGCCCTCACTCTCCTATGCATTTCTCTCACTAAATAAAAAGCTTAAAACTTACCATGTTGCCTAGTTTATTCGAGTCGGTATTCAGAATTCCTCTCTGAATTCATGGCAAGAGCCCACACGGCTTATTAATATGGAAATATTAATAGGCAAATCGGCATCAGTACCTTATAATGATGCTAACATTATATCAAATAAACAAGTATAATAAAGAATAAAATCTGTTTTGCACTTCCTACCAGAACTGTCTGTAAAATATTTTAATTTCTTTTTTTATTAGCCTGTCATGTTAGCTCTCAAACTAACTATAAAGTGACATTCCAGGAATAAATTCCCCAGTGGAAATTAATATGTTTAATATGGATTTATTCATGCTCTTATTCCGGCTAATTTGTGCTTCACCTTTTAAATTTTATTCCTTAAGGCTGCTATGATCCTCCCCATCAGATGCTCATCTTATGTGTCAACACAAACCTTCCTCAAACTAAACTGAACACCACCATTGGCCCATCTGAGCAGCCAAGACAAAGGACAACTAAAAAGGGAAAAGCTCTCCCAGGTACCCCCAGCAGCCGATGCTGTAAGTTATATGCCTACAACTGAGTCAAGTGGGCCGGCTTTTCTTAAAGGTTAGCCCAATTAAATCCAGAAGATACAGCAGCAGAGCAACTGAGCATGCGGACTGTCAGACTGCAAATGTAACTTGGAAGCCAACAACTGGAGGGAGGTTTTAGAGGAGATTTTTAAAAAGCTTCTCAATACGACCCTCCCATTCCTGGTCCCCACCTGAGTGACGTCACATGAGACACCTTGTCCAGTAAAGGAAGCTGGCTCCGGGAGCCACACGACCCTCTGAATTGGTCTCATTCTTCTCTCAGGTTTGCCTTGAGAGGAAAGACACTTCTCCTCCTTCTGCTTTCTGCATCACCCTCTCCTTAACAAACCTCCCTCTCTGCAGTGCTAGGTCGGCTTCATCACACAATAAAAAAATAAATAAATATTAAAAAAAAAGTTCATGGAAATGAAATTTTACAAAAGCTTATTTTGGTGCAAAACATCTTTGAAATCTAAGCATAATCCTTCCACAATGCACATTTTCTGTGAACTTCTCAAAGAACCACATAGCTGGGCCTTTGAAGAGCTTTCAATCTCCTGGACTATCCAGGCCTCCCCAGGGGGAAGGACTCCCTTCCTTCTTTTTCTCTTACACACTTTTAAAGGACAGCCACTTCTTCTCTCTCTTATCTAAATCTCTGTTGAGTGAATGAGTGACTTTTTCCCTCGCAGTTTGCCCTAATAAGGATTCTTCCAGGGACCAGCGCCGTGGCTCATTTGGTTAATCCTCCGCCTGTGGCGCCGGCACCCCATATGGGCGCCGGGTTCTAGTCCCAGTTGCTCCTCTTCCAGTCCAGCTCTCTGCTGTGGCCTGGGAGTGCAGTGGAGGATGGCCCAAGTGCTTGGGCCCTGTACCCCATGGGAGACCAGGAGGAAGCACCTGGCTCCTGGCTTCAGATTGGCGCAGCGCTGGCCATGGCGGCCATTTGGGGGGTGAACCAACGGAAGGAAGACCTTTCTCTCTGTCTGTCTCTCTCTCTCTGTCTAAAAACTCCACCTGTAAAAAAAAAAAAAAAAATTCTTCCAAACAGGAAAAGTCCTTCTTTGATCATTCATCCTCAACCCTAAAGTGAAGCTTTAGCAACTAATCCACACTGTGGTCTCTACTTTTTTTTTTTTTTTACGATTTTATTTATTTATTTGAGAGGTAGAGTTACAGACAGTGAGATGGAGAGACAGAGAGAAAGGTCTTCCTTCCATTGGTTCACTCCCCAAATGGCTGCAACGGCGGGAGCTGCGCTGATCCGAAGCCAGGAGCCAGGTGCTTCCTCCGGGTCTCCCACGTGGATGCAGGACCCAAGGACTTGGGCCATCCTCCACAGCTTTCCCAGGCCACAGCAGAGAACTGGACTGGAAGAGGAGCAGCCAGGACTAGAATCAGTGCCCATATGGGATGCTGGCACCGCAGGTGGAGGATTAACCTACTGCGCCACGGTGCCGGCCCCTGTGGTCTCTTCTTTCTTCTCAATTTTTCCACACTAGAATAGATCTCCAAAATGCCAGCGCTAAGACAAACCTGGTGAGACTGTATGAGCCTGGACTTTTAAGTAGAGGCGGGAGTCTGGGCACTCTCACTCCCCCTTCTACCAAGACGTACGTGTGTGAGCCTGTCACTTCGCATCTTATCCACAGATGGAAAAACTCTCAACCCTTCCAAGAACATACACGCATCTCCACTCCCAAAGAAGTGAGCAGTTCCTGTGCACAGAAGATAGTACTCCTGTACGTGCTGGAACAGAACTGCAGAGAATGGCTGTGACCTAAGGCTTCTTCCTTGGAAGACTCGTAGCAGCTGTATGGAACAACTGCCTCTCGTTTCGCAGGTTCAAAGGACTGCATAGTAGTTGTACCTCGTAAGCATGGAAAAGAACTGCAAGTTCAAGTCCACGGTGAAGGAGCAAGGGTCCAAAACAGGCAGAGTCAGATTCTACGAATGCAGTTAATTAATGGGGGCTATGTATAAGTGTTGTGAAATGCACATGTGCAAACCAGAAGATGTGCCCACTGCTCACACGGCCAGTTTCTATCTCACTCCCTTGATGGATACAGGTCTGTCTCGTCTGGTGCCGCAAGTCCAAGATCAGGGTGCAGGCACGGTTGGGGTCTGGTGCCATCTCCCTGGTTGGCAGGTGGTGGTCTCCCTGCTGCGCCCTCACACAGCTAAGAGAGGGAGCTCCCACCCCTTCCTTATCTTACAAGGGCGAGAATGCCATCACCGGGCCTCCACTCTCACGACCTCATCTCACACAGCTCACCTCCCCAAAGCCCCACCCCCACACATCATCACCTGCTGGGTTAGTGTTTCAGCCTATGCATTATGGGGGGGGGGGGGGCGCAAACATTCAGTCCACAGCCAGGTGTGTGACAGTAGCACAGGGGCAGCAAAGACACACAAGGGGACGGGAGCCAGGATGGCAGAAAGGCATGCTGAGAGAGGCCTGTGGGCCAGGCCGACGACAAGGGACAGAACAGAGAGGCTTTCTGGAGAAGATCCCACCAAGTGACAGCTAGGACCACAGGTAAGAGGTAGACAAATGCAGCAGGGGTAGGGAGACCCGGGCCTGGCACAGGGTTCCTGCTCACCTGTAGTACAGTCTCAACTGAGACAAGCAGCAGCAGGGGGAGGTGTGACATTGGCCAAGAACAAGAGAGAACTCTGATCTCAGTTTCTCGCTCTGTAAGATGTAGGTGATCTTGCTCTGTTCAGAAGGTCGCATGAGGACGGACTGTGTAAGATGACATGTTTCAGTCACCAGGCCCCGACCCGAGGGCTGCAGTAGTGGCAGAAGTAGCAGGGGTGACAGGAGCAATCATAGAGGGCACTGGTCCTCGTCATTCCAGAGGAATTAGACTCAAGCGGCCATTGCTGTAATGCAGGTGCAAAGCGCAAGGTGCTGGGGCACCAAGGAACCAGACTGCAGGGAAGAGCAAGCGTCCACTGGGCGTGGAGGGTGTCAGGTGCAGCGGGCAAGGGAGAGGCAGCAGATAAGGATGCCACAGAAGCTTCTGCCGGAGCAGCTACGGCCAGGAGTGGCTGCCCCACAGCACGGGAACTGAAGAAGGCAAGAAACTCACACTCAGAGCAGTCCACCCCGAGGTCCCCCTGGGGTATCTTAGTGGAGGTGTCCATTTCAAAGCTTCCTGAATCCATATGACACTCAGGAAACAGACGGGAGCTAAAAATATAGACTTAGAAGTTGTCAGCACAGGGGCAGAAACTGACACCAGGGTGAAGATTCATGGCACCCAGAAAGGGCAAGGCAAGAAGGCAAAGAAACAGAGAAGATGCGGCAGGGGCCAAAGACAGAGCTGAGGCACGTCGGCACTGAGGGAGCAGACAGGGAAGGGAGGCTTGGAAAGGAGGGTGCAGCGGGAGAGGTTCTGGAGCACAAGACGACACGAGGACACATGACTGCCTCCGAAGCCATGGGCTAAGGGCTTCTGCAGGAAACGGAGGAGAGCATCACACACTACGGAAGTCAAGTCAAAGATGGATCCAGGCCGGCGCCGCGGCTCAATAGGCTAATCCTCCGCCTAGCGGCGCCGGCACACCGGGTTCTAATCCCGGTCGGGGCGCCGGATTCTGTCCCGGTTGCCCCTCTTCCAGGCCAGCTCTCTGCTGTGGCCACAGAGTGCAGTGGAGGATGGCCCAGGTGCTTGGGCCCTGCACCCCATGGGAGACCAGGAAAAGCACCTGGCTCCTGGCTCCTGCCATCGGATCAGCGCGGTGCGCCGGCCGCAGCGCGCCGGCCGCGGCGGCCATTGGAGGGTGAACCAACGGCAAAAGGAAGACCTTTCTCTCTGTCTCTGTCTCACTGTCCACTCTGCCTGTCCAAAAAAAAAAAAATAAAAAAAAAAAAAAAGATGGATCCAGACAATCACTGCACTGAGGAACAGTGCAGGCCTGGGGGAGGCTGTTGGCACCAGACACCAGACTGTGAAGGATCGTGGGTCATGGGCGGAGAAAGAACTGCTGGGAAAACAGTAAGGGATGCAGGACAGGGTGGCAGCCGGGGGTCCAGGAGACAGGAGGAGGGGCTTCATTTGGCTGTGCGTGTTTGTTGTTGAAGACTTATTTATTTGAAAGACAGAGTAACAGTGAAAGATGGAGACACATCCGTGCATGTGCACATGCACACACACACAGTGCTTCTATCCATTGATTCACTCCCCAGATGCTCACAATAGCCAGCACTCGGTCAGGCTAAAGCCAGGAGCCAGGAACTCCATCCAGGTCACTTGTGTGAATAGCAGGAACCCAAGGACTTGAACCACCTTCTTCTGCCTCCCAGGCACATCAGCAGGAAGCTGGATCTGAAGCTGAGTGGTGGGACTCTGACCCAGGCACTCCACCAGGTGATGCAGGCATTTCCAGGCTGATGCGTCATCTGCTGCACCACAATGCCCACTCCTGCCAGGCCATTTGGTTCTAACCAGAAGAGAAAGCCTCCAGTTTATGTACATGCTGAATTGCCAGGGGAGACAGAAAAGAAGAGGGTGACAATACACCCAAGAAAGGAACACAATGACTGGAAGAAGGGCACTGGGCTGGCTAGACCAGGAGGACGCTGTCAGGACACCAGCTGAGAGGAGGGTGCAATGAAGAGACAGGTAAGGTCTGAACCAGCCGAGCACACGCAGGAAGAGGGTAAACTGCAGAATAAAATCATGCATGCAGGGCACACACCATCTCGAAAACAAAACAGTTCAGCTTCACTCTTTCCTCCATCTACAAAGAGAAGACCTCTTGGATAGGACCAGCTATGGGCTATGCAAGAGATGTTACATAGAGCCAGGTTGTTTACAGGCTAGGAGGAAACAGTTTCCACGTGCAGCAGACATGTATCAGAGAGGAGAACTAGTGTGGCCAAGGCATGTCAGAGCAAAGACAGACAGACTCAGGAGGAAGAGAATGGGTGAGAGTGAGTTTCCAAAAGAACTGTCTCAATGGCAACTCAAAACTCAACTGGTATTGGAATGCCTGGGTTCCAGTCCTGGCTCTGCTTCTGATTCCAGCTTTCTGCTAATGTGCACCCTGGGAGCAAGCAGCTGATAGATCAAGTACTTGGGTCCCTGGCACCCAACTGGGAAGACCAAATTGAGTTCCAAGCTTTCTGGTTTCCACCTGGCTCAGAACCAGCTGTTGCAAGCAATTATGGAGTGAACCATTGAATGGAAGATCTCTGTCCATTTGTCTCTCTCTGCCTTCCAAGTAAAATGATGATTAATAAATACATTTTTTTAAAGAATCTCAAACAGAATTCCTGTTTGGTGCAATTAAGGCAATAAAGGCAGGTGCCATTTTCAACAAGGCTGAAATAAAACACTAATGATACAATATGATAAGGATTATAGAAACCAAACTTTGTAGCCATTTTTGCCCTAGCCATGTCTTTGATAAAGGAACACTGTCAACTACCTCAGATATTAACACATCAATGACTTTTTAAACATTTTCTAAAGACTTCATTCCAAAAAAAAAAAAAATGCTCAATGTTTGAGGACCAGGTCCACAGGCTAAGAACATTAAGATAGTTAATTTTCAAGCTGCGAAGGTCTAACTTCTCAGCACTCATAGGACAATCCACTAAAATATCTAGAATGAGAAAGGCTTTAGGAAAAGGTGGGATAATTTAGAGAATTGATAATTTGCCCATGTTCAATTTCAAATACTCACCGACACTCTAGATCCCAAGTACCCACACATTCTCCCTCAAATTCTAGCACCAAAGACAGGTGAAGACATTTTTTTAACCCTACTCCCCTCTTCCCATATTACAGAAGTTAGTGACCAGTTAGGGCTCCATTAACACTGACCACATACTTAGTACACTCCACATACTATGTTTCATATATTACGTTAAGTTCTCACAACATTATTTACTTTTACTTGAAAGGCATACACAGAGACAGACAGAGTTCTTCCATCCACTAGCTCACTTTCCAAAGACTAGCAAGAGTTCAGGCTGGGCCAGGCTGAAACCAGGGGCATAATCCGGGTCTCCCTAACTACATGAGCCATCACCTGCTCCCTCACAGGGTGTGCATTAGCAGGAAGCTGGAATTTGAAGTGGAGCCAGGACTCGAACTCAGGCACTCTGTTATGGGATGTGAACCTCCTCAATGGTACCTTGACCACTGTGCCAAACACCTGCCCCATCCTGCAAGGTGCCAGAGAAGTGGAGGAAATTGCCTAATCTCACACACCTGCTGAAAAACAAGGTCACAGTGTAAATTCAAGCTCACGCAGCTTCAAAGTGCATACCACTTCCCCACTCCAGATTTTCCTGTTGCAAAGGAAAATGTGTCAAGTGCAGTTTTCTTTTCTTCCTTGGGCAATTTAGAATTCTTTTCTTCACAGACTTTTAACAAATTTAATTTATTCCTTAGTGCTTTGTAGGCTGAATTTATGGAGATTTTTTTAAAGAGCAGTGTTTAAAAATCTGTTGTTAAATACCAAACAAATGGGAATTCACCAAATGATCAATTAGCTAAGTGCTCAGCAGCAGTTTCTACTTTCAGCTGAGGTCGTAACAAGTGGAAAAGCAGACTATTTGATGTCCTACAGTGGAACCTATATCCAAAACAAGCCCATGAGTTTAAAACAAGGGGTCTCTGCCAAGTACAAGAACAAACCAGGGGCTGGTGCTGTGACACAGTAGGTTATCCACCTGCAGTTCCAGCATCCCATAAGGGCGCCAGTTCAAGTCCTGGCTGCTCTACTTCCAATCCACTCCCTGCTGATGGCCTGGGGAGAGCAGCCAAACACGGCCCACATGCTTGGGCCCTTCTACCCATGTGAGAGACCCCGAAGAAGCTCCTGCTTCCTGGTTTCAGATCAGCCCAGTACCGATACTTGTAGCCATTTGGAGAGAGAATCACTGGATGGAAGACTTCTCACCCTCTCTGTCTCTCCTCTCTCTGTAACTCTGCCTTCTCAAATAAATAAATAAATCTTAAAAAAAAATGAGAGCTGCCCTATGGATAGTATCAGTCAACTTGGAAGTTACAATAGTAGTAGCATCTGGAAAAGACAAATTATGGGAGATGGCAGGCTCAGCACCTGCACCTGACTCTGCTCCACCACATCCCTGCTGCAGGCCTTGAGAAACTTCTCATGTGCTCTGTGCCTCAGTTTCCACATCCATAAAATGGGCATATCAGGGACTATTACTCAGACTTCATGAACCTTGGCTAATACAAACAAGGGATTTTAAAAAGGTTCACAAAAAAATGTATATAGTATTAAAAAGTTATACATAGATTTCATTTTTTTTGAACCAAAACACATTTATCTTTTAATTCCATTTTCTACAACCTTTCTGAAGTCCCTTCCTACAAAGTGCTTAATCAGTAACAGCTAATTCTGTCACACCCGCTTGGGCTTTTCCCTTTTAGAAGGAGCATTTTTAAAACTACAGGTCACAGCTCATAAGTGTGTTATGAAATCGATTTAGAGGGTCACAACCAGTATTTGAGAGAAAGGAAATAGAATAGAATGTTGTTGTAAGCCTCATTGAAGTCATACTTTAGATGACTAGTACAGCTTTTCTCATGGTGACATTAAGTGGTAATTCCTGCATCTCTCTTCCTATAGAGTATCCACATTTCTGTGGATGCACAGGCAGCCATCTATAGGGGCTCTGTTTCAGCGTCACCATCAAAAACTCTTGACAAACACTGCTTTATAGAATGGAGATGATGGGGAGCTAAGGAAGATGGAAAGGTTGAAGAAGCTGGAAGCCATCTGTTAAAAAGCAGATACCTGGAGCAAATGGGAAACCTTCCTCGGTGGACAATCAATCGGGAGCACACAGCAATTCCTCTTGCATACAAGGTGGTTGAAGGCTGGGCTGCTACCAGCATTTTGACAATATGAGCTTAGCAACATGTTCATTTCCAAAGCAAACCAAATTACAAAACTGGAAGTACAGATGTTATCTTGACATTGGGCAAGATTGGAAAAATTAATATGATTTATCCGGTAAGTCATCGTGCAACACTTGTCAGAGTAGACACAATACCAGATTTCAAATGCTCTTCAAAGTCATCAGGGTTTGGAGGAGACAGGAAAATGTTTTAAAACAGAAATCCTTTAATGTGGGTGTAGATTTAACATAACAGTTCCATTATAACCAATTCCTAGGTGAAGATTTAATTACCTGTATAAGCTTTCCCAGAAGATGAAATGGAGAAGAATGTAAGCATATATCTAATCATTTTAGAATCTAACAGAAACATTTACAAATGGCTTTACAATATGGTGTCTATCAACACCTCTTAGACCACTGGGTAAGAGGAGCCATAGCTGATATAGACAAGGAGGTAGCTAGCAAGGAAGAGCTGCAGTCTCCCACCTTCCTACAACCCTGCCTGTCCACCCTACTCCCCCACCATCACC